AGGGCTTTTAGGGCTTTAGGGCTTAAGGGGTTTAGGGCTTAGGGGTTTGGGCTTTAGGGTTTAGGGTTTGGGGGTGTAGGGTTTAGGGTTTAGGGCTTTTGGGCTTTAGGGTTTAGGGCTTTAGGGCTGTGGGGGTTTTTGGGGCTTTAGGGCTTAAGGGGTTTAGGGCTGTAGGGGTTTTAGGGCTTTAGGGCTTTAGGGTTTGGGTTTGGGGATTTAAGGTTTAGGGCTTTAGGGTTTGTAACGTTTGTTTAAATGAGTTCCCTTCGGTATTGATTTTTTTTTGCACGGTTCGAGATGTTTCATTCGGTTCTAGGTCAATCGTGTATTCAATCACGGTTTAGGGCTCGGGTTATCGGTGGTCTCACGGTGGCTGCAAGGGGTTCTTTGCACAAAGCCCTAAACCCTAAAGCCTAAAACCTAAACCCCTAAACCCTAAAACCTAAACCCTAACAAACGGCACGACTTTTGCAGGCCAGATTAGGGGTCACCAGGTTTTCATGCGGGCTCAAAGGGCTGCTATAGTCGGGCTTTGCATGAGTTTGAGGTTTTAGACATTCCATGGCTGTAGGGTTTTGGGTTCCAATCGTATAAACATGCAGAATAAGCACATCCTGCTTCATTTCCCCCACCTAAACCCTAAACCCCCCTCCCGCAGAACGTAAGGCCTGGTAGGCCATCTGTGCGCTGAAGCTTTGCTTCGATCCTCAGCAACTGTTTAGATGTAGGAATACTCAGACCCCACAAACCCCCAAACCCCACAACCGGCTAAGGTTTCGGGTTTAGGATTTACCTTAAGAAACCCAAAACCCACTTTTTTGTAGGTTCTTATTATAAACCCCAATATGGGATTTATAGGGACCCTACAAAAAAGTAGGTTTCGGGTTTAGGACTTAGGATGCCCAAATCCAACCCCAGTTTGAGCTTCTTTGCTGGAGCTCCTTTCCCTGCCCTAAACCCTAAACCCTAAACCCTAAACCCTAAACCCTAAACCCTAAACCCTAAACCCTAAACCCTAAACCCTTGCATCTGCCAGGTCAACCCGCAGCTTGCGGGTTTCGGGTCAAGGTACGGGGTTAGAGTTCAGGGTTTAGGGTTTAGGGTTTAGGGTTTAGGGTTTAGGGTTTAGGGTCAGGGTATGGGGTTTAGGGTTCAGGGTTTAGGGTCAGGGTACAGGGTTTAGGGTTTAGGGTTCAGGGTTTGGGGTCAGGGTATGGGTTTGCTGATAGTCTTCAATGAACCTATAGCCTCCATCGTAGTTCCTTTTTTGTGTCACCTCTTACAACTGGTTAAACCAAAACAGGAACTACACTGGAGCCTAGGAGTACGAATCTGTTTGGTATACCATTTGGACGGTAACCCTGCAGGAACAAGCTGGTTGGCCAAAAGAAAGAATTCGATTGGAGAGCAAAGGTAGTTATCGTAGTAGCAGAAAAGGCACTACGTGTTTGGTGCTTACTTACGGGTAACCATGGCAGTCACAGGCGCATGACGACAATATTCAAGCCTTCTTATACGGCTTTACTCCAAAACTTGGGAGGTGGCGTTGATCAGATCGGTCGTGCGAATGCAAAAGATCAGAGTCTTGGTGCACTGCACTATGTGCGGTTCGATGAAATACTCGATGAACAAGCGATCCCGATCACCGTGGATGAGGTTCCAGTTCTTCTCCTGGCGAGCCCTAAACTTCCTAAACCTTAAACCTGCAGCTCAAACTTCCTTGCTTTGCTCGCAGGGGTAGACGGTGGCCGCCGAGCGCAAGGCTTCACGACATAACAGCAGAGATTACACAAGCTGGTCCGGTTGATATAGGGGTCTTAATAGTTAGAATAGGGGTTTTGGGGTGTGTTATACTTTAGCCATACTAATTATTGGTACTTACTTCGGCCCCTATAGTTACTCTTGGGTTACGGGTTTGGGGCTCGTTGCAGACCGTCAAAACAAGCACAGAAACGGAACACTATGCCTCGCTCCATGTGCCAGACCGGCAAATTCCGCTTCTGGATTCGTGAGGGGGGCGGAGAACTGCCCACTGCAAAAGCAGGTGCAACGGCTTAATTTGCACCAAACCAGTTTATGATTGCAGAACTAAGGCGGGTTAAGATAAGTGCCTGAGGAATTGAGCTACTTCTACTTTCTGTTACTTCTTCTGATTGTAGCACCTACGTGCCGCGAATTATAGTTACAATAGTCATGTACCGGGACGAGGGACGAGCCAGGTGGTACCCTCGGAGCTGGATTTGCCTACGGTCCGCAGGCCCTAGGCTTGTCGAGGAAGCCGCCTCTTATGCAACTTTCCAACCATAAGCCCCAACTCGCGAAGTTGAAACCCTCAAACCCTAAAGCCATCGCCATAAACCCTAAACCCTAAACCCACCGCCAAGCGTGGGTTGCGGACCACTCCAGACGCCGAGGGAAAAACGATCAGCTCGTTCGCCTGCAATCGCGCAACACCCTGGAAACCCTAAGACCCCTGCCAAAATGTAAGGGCCTTGATAATTAGAATAGGGTGTTGGGGTATACTATACTATAACTATAATAAGGAACGCCCAAAATAGTATTGGTAATCATTTAGGCCCCTATATAAGAGCCCCTTGTGCAACCCTTAAAGGAACCGCCCGAAGTCTCAAACTCCAAATCCTCCATTACAACACATAAGGAACCCTCAAAGGAAGCCAAACCCAGAACCCCTAAACCTTAACCCTGGGACATAAATAGTTTAAACTTTCAGACTACTGCTAGGTTATTATAAGAACCCCAAAAGTAAAGCTCGGGCATTGGAGAACTATAGTGTTTTCGGTTCAGTCTATGTTTGCGGATTTAGACAGTTTGGGGCTTAGGCGGCTCTCCCCTTTGTCCCGGCAGAGGGATTCACAAGTTCAATATCCGAACCCTGAATCCTAAACCTGAAACACTAAGCCAAACCTCGGGACCCTCCACCTCAAAACACTAAGACCCTAAACCCTGAAGCCCTACCTATAGTCTCCACTGTAGTTCCTTTTTTTGGTTTAACCAATTATGTATTAAGGATTCTATAAGGTATCCGCAAAAAGGAACTACAACGGAGACTATAGGTAAACTCTAAAATCCTGAACCCTCACCCTCATCGCCTACTGTAACCCCGACCTCTCACCCGAAACACAAACTTCGTAGGCCTGTAGCCGGGCGCTTTCCAAACATTGATTGCCTCCCGGAGTGGAGTCGATTGGGGGCTCAGTGGGTCTACCCTACGTAGGGTTTCGGGGATACATACCTCGCACACTTTAACTTGGATAATGTAGGCGATATAAGAAATGGTACGGTTGCTCAGCTTCGGGCTGTGGGACCTAGGATGATTATGCACAATGCTGCATACAAAGAGCATCGCGCCGGAGGGCTGAATGTATACAGGCTAACAATCTAAAACACAAAGACACATAGGAACCATACTGTCTTCGAAAGCTATGGGACATCTTACAAACGCCTTGCAGGAGACATTGCACACAACCTGTGGCAACTGTCCTCATCCTCCCGCACCCCTGACGGCAAACTGGCTTGGAAATGCGCAGGCGCACGCCTTCGGCCGCTTCTAAGCGCCAGGCCTCCCAGCCTTCCGTGTATTTTCACGCGTTTAGATCACGATAAGGCTTCCAGGCTCTCGGGTTTAGGGTTTAGG